ATTCCATTCCATTCTATTCTATTCTATTCTATTCTATTCTATTCTATTCTATTCTATTCTAAAATTATGATGTTTAGCCTCAGAACAGTCTCTGGACAGTCACAATCAAAATTTCCCTATATACATTAGACTCCAGGTCATCATTCTTCTCCTACTGGCCTTTACTAGAAGGCCTGGAGCTCTCCAGTTCCTCACATCTGCAACCAAAATAGAAATTCTGGGATCTATAGAATCAAAATATCTAGAGTGTGGATCATGATGGTTGGCAGAAGCTGGGACAAGTAACAGGAGCTGACTCTGTTAGGCGGCACTAGGGATTCGAACCGCCGAACTGCCGACATTTCTGATCGACAAGCTCAGCATCTTAGCCACTGAGCCACTGCGTCCCTATAAAGGATATTACCTTTTACCAAATGGAGTAAGTTAGAACCTCCCCCTTGTTTTTCCTTTCTTGAGACTATGATACTGACTCTCCTACCCTCCAACTTATATTATCTCTGAGATCAAATCTCCATTGAGAGGAGGAAGGAAGAAGGGGGACGTTTCTGCATTCTCCCACCCTTGATTTCCATTTCTCCCCATGGAACTCTAACTCTTTATCCCTAGGAATGATAAGCAAAGGACCTGCTCTCTAAGTGACTTGAAGAATGGAAGGCAAAAATCCTTACCTGTCAAGTGAAGGCACAAGGGCAATATAATCCATAAGAAATGCTTAGGTCTTAGTGCTCGGCCGTCCATTGTGGCTATCTCAGGTCTAGTCAAGAGTGATAGCTCCTGGAAGGACTCTTCCTACTTTTTATAGCTAGTTACCAAATGAGAAACTCTTATCTGGCACCTGCAGGCATAATTATTAAACAGTCATATCTCTAATAGTGGGTGAGGGCAACTAGGTCTCTTTGGATCAGGAAGGTGTGTCACAGTTTATTCAAGTTAATGGACCACAGAACAAGGGTGTGGCTGATCATGAGTGCTTCAAAGTGAATGTGATTAATCTCTTCTTCACTGTTTCATGACGAAGATACAGAAGCATTCCTCTTGACAAAAAAAAAAAGGGAGATTAGTGGCTTAGCTTCCTAACGCTAAGAAAATCCTCAGACATAACTAACACAAACACATGCACAATAGATATAATCTCATGAGAAATGAAATGTCAGAGGCCTCAACCAATACAAGCCACATGCCAGGATGAAGGAGACATCACAACAGAGAAGTGAAAAGAATTTAGCAAGATTGAAGGCTGGGCAGATCTATTTTGTCTTTAGTTTCATTATCAGCATCATTTTCTACGTGAGCTCACTATTTTCTGTTTCACCTGCACATGTATTTGTGAACCCCACAGTATCTGGAGTGATTGTTTGTGGTGTGTCACATTCTTCACATACATATAATAAGATTTCGATTCTGTAGTAATTCTTGCCAATGTGACTTTCTGTGGATGATCCTATGTCCCCCAGTGTATATCTCAAATGATCTGCTTTACCTCTGGATTCTTCTCTGACTCCAGGTGTCAGCCTCTATATTGTTCATGGTATTTGGGAGGGGAATCGTGCTGGTGGAGACATCTCTAAAGAGGGAGTTTTGTT